ATATATATATATATATATAATACATGTAGATATATATATATATATATATATAATACATGTAGATATATATATATATATATAATACATGTAGATATATATATATATATAATACATGTAGATATATATATATATATAATACATGTAGATATATATATATATAATACATGTAGATATGTGGAGCTAAATAAGATATTAGTGCAATCTTAGTACACTATATACAGTATATTGTCATAAAGTAATTTATCAATTTTTGTTTTAATTTTAGCACAATTTCAAAAAGGTGAGAAACAACTTACTAAAAAGTACAACCAATGGGAAAAGTCCTAGGCATTTCAAACTCCATGGTAAAGAGATTCTTTGGTCCCACCTGAAGGAAGCCTACATGTACGATGTCAAGTACAACCCAATCCGGACATTCAAGTACCTTACCCCACAGCATTTTGAGCCTGCAGTGCTGACAAAATGCGCAACTATCTTGCCGACGATGTGCTGGGAAAACGAATGGTAGAGGTTGTACAGGTATGATAAAATCTTGATTTTTTTTGTACATTTATAGCATACCAATCTTGGGGAACAACTAATGCAACCTGACTTGTCATTAAAATATATTTCTCATTACATCTAGAACTATCAAGTCCACTTGTTGAAGAAAGGAGACCACACTGATGTCCTAGAGAAGACTGTTGAACTTCTCAAAGTTACAAGTGTTTTGCTGAAGAACTTCAAAAACAAAAAACCATATATAGGTAAGCTAGCTAACATAGAGTAACATGTATTTACGTTATTATGAATGGTGTGGCCGAATTTAGAGTTGATTTTATCCAGAAAGAGATGTGTGAAGGGATTCTTTAACAAGGATCACTTCTGTCATTCGTCTCCATTCTACAAATATTCTAACTGTTACATATGTGAGCATAAAACTAACGATTTAGTTCAATATCCATTATCCAATGCAAGTCCTGTCCAGTGTCTTCATCAGGGGTGATCTGAATGTTGAAACAAGTTCCCTTTTATGCTCCACACTGTGACATCAGCGATAAAATCATCGGTTAACCAAATGCATGTAGGCTTCTGGTAGATCACTTTCCCATCAGTTTAATGGATCATTAGCTTTTACAATATGCCAAGCTTCCAGACAATGTCTTTGATGGAATCTCTAATTTGCAATGATTTATTAATTATCCCTCGTAGGTCAAGCGAAGATGATAGATTTGTCGAAATGGTTTGAAAGGTGGGAGACCCAGGCAATGAGTACAGATATGGCATATCACTGAAAGAGAAGGGGGAAATGTTCATGTCTTACAAAACGATGTTCGATGTTTATTCCATGATTGTTGGTTTTGAACTTTACTGCAACATTCTATTCAAAATGTACCCCGGGTCAACAGCCAAGGCCGCTATGACATCCACATCAGCTAAGACCTCAGCCCTACCAATGGCAACATCCATGGCCGCTACGAAATCCACATCAGCCACGACCTCAACCCTAGCAGTGGTAGCAGCCAAGGCCGCAACAATATCAGTCAAACCCCAATCAGAATTCAGTGACGAAGATGAAATACACCAACTTGGGTTGGAAATTGAAAGAGATGTCAAATGGGATAAAAAAAAAACACGAAAGAACCCACATCTCTCGTTATTTTTATCTTACTTAATCTTTGATCTGTGCAAACATAAAGCTCTTGTGGAAAATTATTTGTCCATCATAACAAATGCATGGCAAGTGGCTGATAGCACGTTCACTGATGTGACAACGCTAACAAAGAGATCAGTTATCCGAGAGTGTTACCGAAGCATGTGTGAGAAAGGAAGTAGACATATTTATAAGATTCCTGGTCGTTAGAAGTGTTGTGCGGGGAAAAAGCAAGTTCAAGAAGCCCTGCTAACTGTTGAGATGCTTTCACTATGGTTTCAGGCACTCTGAAAAATGGTCGGTCAAAGAACAGCTGAACTTCAAGTTCTTGAAGAGCAACGCCTGCTAACTCTGAAGCAAATTTAAAGATTCCTCAACTCCAAATATGCGAAAGACATGTATCAGAGCTCCTTCACAATGACGAATCTATTGGACCACAACAATTCTGTGACTGCAGAAATTTCATCGCTGCTGTAATGCAAGACTGGACAGGTGTATGCTCCAGTCCATTTGCAAGTATGGTTGTATACGACATCAAACATGCAAACTTCGGCCGCGACGACATGTACACAAAAGCCATTCCAAAGCATAAGACTGCCCATGTATACGGCGCCCAGCACATGTGTAAACAAGGAAACTTTCCAATGGCTCCTGAAATTCCTGGAAACGCGAGAAAATTTTTTACCGCAACCATGTCATGAATATGTTTTCACTAGCACGACAGGCTGGTCTGCAACATCAAGCCAAATTTCAGCGTTTTTCAACTCCGCATGGCTAAAGTCGGGAGTGCTAGACGAGTCCCAGCCAAAATTGAATGCTACTAGATTATGCAAAGCACTAGTTACAATTCAAAGAGAGATGATGCCAGGTGAAGAAGATAATTTGGCTACTGCAATGGCCCACTCCAGAAGGGTTCAGGACACTCACTACAACGTTCGTAAGACTCGACAGCAAGTATTGCAAGTCTCCAAAAAATACAATGACCTGCTGGATGAGGTGTCCGAATGTGAACCAACCGAAAGTGAACCAACCGAAAGTGAAAGTATTACAACTAGCCAGCAAGTACTTCAAGAAATGGACAGGAAAAATGTTTTTTCAAGAAGAAGGCTTTATACTGCTGAGGAAGAGGAACACATTTGCCAGGCTTTTGCAGATGAAATTGCTGGAAAGGCAAGTCTAAAATTAAAGACTGCAAAAATGCGCTTGAGGAATTGGAAAAGCTTAAGAGACTTGACATCCGATCAAATCGTCAACAAAGTAAAGTCTCTGCGGAAGCTTAGAGTAAAGAAGCTTAAGAATCACGGTCGCCAACTGACTCCAGAAGTGTCTACAGCAGGATCGTTAGAATTAGAGGAAGAGCAGACTTTCAAAACAACAGCAAAAACGACAAAGGCAGTAGAGGAGTTGCAGATGGTTACCGACGAAGCTGGATAAACAAATAATAACAAGTGTTAATAATAGTATCTATTGTCTATAATATTTTGTTGTTTTTATGGTAGAAATCTTGTTAAGAAATTATAATACAGCAGCAGGGCATCGACATTTTACCTAGAGTTCGATAGCAGGGCAATACATTTTTTTCTTTTAATGGAACGGAGGGCAGGAATTTTTTTTCATGAAATTTTGCTTCTCCACCCGCCCTGCCTTTTAGTAAATTTTACATGGTCCCTCACGATGCATATCGCTTTTGGAAGAGGTGAAAGGACTTCTTGATAATCAGAGCTCCAACGTAAATATCAACCAAAATGAGGGAGCTATCCTGCCAATGCAGAAATCAAATACGAGTGTTCCAAGTTCACAGCGAGCATCAGATGATTCAAATATTAATATAAATGGCATTGCCATCAACTGCATCGTCGAGCCCAGCATCTACACAGCCAAAATCTGAACATCGACCAGAGAGAGTCATGGAAAACTTTAGATCGTGCAGGTTTGCGCCTTATGGGGCATCTGGGAGAAGTGATTGGTTGCATCCTCCACCTGGAAAAAAAGCAAGGAAAATACATTTTTAGGTAAAAGAAACATGGACTCATGATTTTTTCTGTCTGGCTACACTGCAACAACTGCTACAGGCGTTCCATCTCGCATGGAAAAATCAAGCTTCAGAATGCAGGCCTTGGACGAAAAAAAGTTATTTTTAGTTGTAAAGCATCCGCTTTTGAGGTACAAAAAGTTCTAGAGAGTGCCTACCAAAAACATTGCAACACTGGAGGGTTTGAGTTACTTAGAAGTGGTTCACCCTGTTCATCATTGGTTGTTCATCATTGGTCTTAATCAACCCCCAACCCTCAGAAGGCCATTCAGAACCTTTTCTAAGTGATTCAGCTGGGCTACGACCAGCGTTGACTTACATCAGACCTCTTCAAAGAAACATAGAGACTTCGGCTTCAATGGCGCTTGAAGAAAAGTTATGACAATATGTATGTAAACTATTAATTTGTTTTAGAAGTGTACAATTGCTTGAGTGCACACAAACAATGGCATGAAGTAAACCATTGTTCTATAGGTAGTTTAGAAGTAGCCACAGAACAAATTCCGGAAATGTCTATTCTCGCTTAAAATGTACTTAAATACATATAACATGTACTTAATTCCTTTTGTTTACCCAACAGCTGTATAAATAGCTCATCTAGGGGGCTTACTGTTATTCTTTGTGGGTGAAAGAAGTGCAAAAATACCTCCCCCCAATGACAAATCCCAGCCCAAAGAAAAACCAACACATTAGTTTGTCAGACCATACTACCATAGTCAATCAAAATATCATGGTCTGGAACCTCTGCCAAAGGCTTTTTTCACGAACTTTTGGCCAAATGAAGCAACAACCAATAACATTTCTTTGCCAAATGATTCAAGTGTCCACTTTTCCAAGGAAAGTCAAACAAAAATAAATTGCTTAGCTGTTAAGATACTGTATACATATACTTCTAATTTATCCCCAAAGCCGTTGATGGAATGTTCCATTGGTAAAGTGCATGAAGTGGGTGTTCCAATGACAAGTTTTAGATATTACCATTGTATTGCAGACTCAACGTAAGTTCTTAAGACAGAGCCATTTATGTTTATGTATACCTGTATGTGAACAGGGAGAGAAAACTTTAAAGGCACAGTTCAGCCTGTTGAACGATGGTTTTTAAGGCGCATTTCAGCCCTTTTAATTGAAAAAACTAACTAGGAAAATCAATTAAGCATAATTCAAGATCACCAAACTTAATGTTTTTAACATTTTAAGACATTTATATTGTTAAAAACATCGAGTTTACTGATTTTGAATTATGCTTAATTGATTTTCCTAGTTAGTTTTTTCAATTAAAAGGGCTCAAATGCGCCTTAAAAACCATCGTTCAAAAGGCTGAACTGTGGCTTTAATCATTTAAAATACTCCTAAATGCTACAACACTTTGAACAGATAATAACTTGAAAATAATTATATCTTATGCATACTTTCATAGTTCATATCAAGTACTCAAGTGTTTTCATGTTCTTGATTGGTTGATGGGTTCAATTTAAAATTGTCAGTCGCATTTTATAATATACATACCTGTTAAAGTGCCTATGAAACGAAATTTTTACCTCATTTTTTATTGTTTTATTAAAAATTCCTTCTGGAGTGATGAGTTGTGATGTCACAAGTTTGACTTGACTTGAGATAATGGCAATAACAAGAAAGTCTGATATCTTGCTGAGTATTTAATAAAATTCAATAAAACTTGGTACACTTAGTGGGTGCACCCATAACAGGTAGGCAATTTGTCGACGCTGACCAAAAATAGCGGCTCATTTCTTCTTGAGTTTCCATTTTCGTGTCAAAGAGCAAAAATATAGACTTTCGGTGAATATTTTACCTGTTTACTATCAAATATGTTTGTGAAACAGTTGATAATCTTACTGAGGAAGGCCAACAGTTTCTGAAAAGCTAAAGTACCTCGAAATCAGCTTTGGAATAGACTATATTTTCATCGGGGAAACATGAACAAAATGGATATTTACATAGACACTAAATTTTGCTTGTGCCTACATAGCTAGTTGGATTAAAACAGATGTTAAGAAGTAAGTGAAAATGTGAACTTTGTGAATTATACTTTCATTAAAATGTTTCAGAAGGTTTGCTAATGTCAAACTACACGTGTGACAGAGCTGCCAGTATACCCATATTTCAATGTTTA